GACACTTGTTTCTGCATTCAATACAAGTGTGTTATACAGAGTACACAGTATTGTATGGGTTTGTAAAGTGAAGTGAATGAGTGCTCGCATGCGTTCATCACTCATGAATTGTTCAAATTATTTTTGGCAATTATTATTATTTCCACTATTTTTTGCCCCATTATTATAGAAATAATTTGTTGTATAATTGTATAAATTGTAATTTATTTTAAAATGTAATAAAACTATTTTTGTGTACATATTATAATGTGCGATCCGTTTATGCACTTAGGAACTACTTATACTAGTATTGGTTTAGTGTGCATGAAAGATGCTAGGTCAATATTGCCAATTCAATCAATAAATGATATTAAACGTTGATAACAAGTTATGCTAATATATTAATTCAGATATCAATAGCCTTGAAAGCTGTTGCTTATAATCGGCCAATAAAAGCGGCGTTTGATATCTGTTTTGTTAGACTATTATTAACTATTAATGATTAGTGAAAGGAGTGATTGAAATGACAATAAAAGTTGAATTTCTAGTTTATTAATAATTTATTAATGATCTAACGATTTGAAGCCTATTATTATTTTTATTATCGCTGTATATATCATGTCATCAATTAAAACAATTATTCAAATAACAAGTTTTGTCGACTACACTATTAATGCATTCACTGATAGAAATTGTTTGACTGATAATTTAATTGAAATTTTTCCTAAAAAAAGTTATTGATTTGACTTTGACTTCAATTGATAAGAAAAATTTAAATATAAACACCCAATGAGTACATTGAATGCGATAATAATAGATAGAAATGTATTGAAAATAGTTTATAAAACAATACAAACAATATATGAGATATTGATATGAAATTCTTGATTATCGCACATAAGTGTCAAACACCAGAATAAATGCAATTCTTGAATAGAAATGCATTCATAAAAACGTTATTAATGTTAAGTGAATGGAAAGCAAAGCGAAGGACGAGTTGAGGACGACTGACAGGAATTGATGCCTAACTTGTATTCAACACTGTTTTCACTGCCATATAGTGTTTGATTCACACAAACCAAACACTTTGTAAGCAATTTAGTTGTCATTTAACTCTCATTTCAATTGCGACGAGTGTTTGACTTGATTTGAGCCCAAGTGTAGACCCGTTGCGACGGTTTGCGAGCATTGAATCACTAATTTGTGGTCATTTACTAACCATTTTGAGTGCCATTTCATGTGTTAGTCAACACTTTGATCACAAGTGGAGACACTTTTGTTAACTCAACTAATTGTGAATTTTTCAAATTCACCAAAAAGTGCTGCAAAAAAGCCCTTCGTTTACATCATCTACGGATCAGATCGTAACCGCTGCTGAAGAATATGTGATTCTATGACTGCCATATCATCTCAAACCAGATCTGAAGATTGATTTTGCATCAAAATAATTACTTAAGTGTTTGCAAATTGCAATCCATTGAAACAGTCCCTAAGTGTGCAAAGAGAGTGAGATGTCGATCGATGTCTACGAATCCAGTCTTAAGACTAATCCGCAGATATTCCGTCTGCGGACCCAATCGACCGTCGATGACGGGCCCGTCTTCTCACGGGAGGGCAATATCCCGAAAGAGGGCGGACAGGCGAAGGGCAAAGTGATCGCCGTCTTCACCAGCGGCGGTGATTCTCAAGGTTTGTATCCAATTTGAGTTGTCATCGGTTCCAGTGATTTCAGTGTCAAATGTGTGAACACAGGTATGAATGCGGCGGTTCGGGCGGTCGTGCGGATGGGTCTGTATTTGGGATGTCGTGTGTATTTCATTAAAGAGGGCTATCAGGGGATGGTTGACGGCGGCGACCATATAATCGAGGCCTCGTGGGTATCCGTTTCGGGAATTATACATCAGGTATGCATTGAATGTATTGACATAAACGGTGTTTGACTTGACATATGTGTGTATTGGTGGCCAAAAGGGCGGAACAGTTATCGGTAGCGCGCGTTGCGCTGACTTCCGCGACCGCGCCGGTCGTCTGAAGGCTGCTCTCAATCTCATTGAACACGATATAACAAATCTGGTTGTGATCGGCGGTGACGGCAGTCTCACCGGCGCTAATCTCTTTCGCCAGGAATGGTCATCACTTTTGGACGAGTTATTGACCACAGGTTTTAATAAATGTGTTACTCTTTTATCTGAATTAATATTTTTCAATCAAATTGTTAGCAAAAATTACTGCCGAGAAGAAGGAGTTGTGCAGCCATTTGCATATCGTAGGAATGGTGGGCTCTATTGACAATGACTTCTGCGGCACTGACATGACAATTGGCACCGATTCAGCTCTACATCGAATTATTGAATCCATCGACGCTATTGTTACCACCGCTTCCAGGTTTGCCTCAAATAGAAATGTTATGTTTTATGCATTTAATGATATTGTATATCTTTGATAGCCATCAGCGAACGTTTATTCTGGAGGTTATGGGCAGACATTGTGGGTATTTGGCATTAGTTGCAGCGCTGGCCAGTGAAGCGGACTTTGTGTTTATACCGGAGTGGCCGCCAGAAGTTGAGTGGCCATTGAGATTGTGTAAAAAAATAGAACAGGTTTGTTGTCATATTATATTCACAATTGATCCATAATTGATTGGATGTATAAATGAATGCATTGATTGAATGAATAGGAGAGACGTATGGGAAAGCGTCTAAACATCATAATCGTGGCCGAAGGGGCCATCGATCGCGAGGGCAAAGTAGTGACGGCCGAAATGGTTAAGGATGTGAAAAATGAATGCATTGATTGAATGAATAGGAGAGACGTATGGGAAAGCGTCTAAACATCATAATCGTGGCCGAAGGGGCCATCGATCGCGAGGGCAAAGTAGTGACGGCCGAAATGGTTAAGGATGTGATCGTTAAGAGCACGGGTCAGGACACGAGAATCACTGTTTTGGGTCACGTGCAGAGAGGCGGCTCTCCCAGCGCTTTCGATCGCATATTAGGTTGTCGTATGGGCGCCGAAGCCGTGCTCGCGCTCTTAGAGGCCACACCCGAGTCCGAGGCCTGTGTTGTGTCATTGGATGGCAATCAAGCTGTTAGAGTGCCTCTAATGCAATGCGTCGAAAAAGTAATTGAGTTTAAAATCAAAAAATGTGTTGATTATTAACATTTAGTATTTGTGTGTTTTCAGACCAAATCGGTGGCGGCGGCCATGAAAGAGACCAAATGGGAACAGGCGGTCAAACTGAGGGGCCGTAGCTTTGAGCGCAATTTGGAGACATACAAGATGTTGACTCGAATCAGACCACCGAAATCGGTGAGCGATGAACACAGTTCTGGTGGTTATAGGCTGGCGGTGATGCACGCGGGCGCCCCCTGTTGTGGTATGAATGCCGCCGTTCGCTCGTTTGTCCGCAATGTCATCTTCAGGGGCGACACTGTTCTCGGCATTCACGAGGGTATCGACGGCTTTATTGAAGG